AGGAAGGAAGCATCACCAAGGAGAAGAGTCAAATGCTAGTTACCTGCAGGAACTCAAGATACTCATGGGACTTCTACTTCAAGGACAATAGGCTAGCCAAGTCAATCATCAAACAGCTGGAAATCCTCATCTCATTCCTCAAGAAGCAATTCAACATCACAGTCAAGGTCATTGAGACAGACAATGAGATTGTCACAGTCAAGCAAGAAGTATACCGATGGCTATTAGGACTGGGAATCAAGGTTGAACCATCTGCCCCAGACACACAGGCCCAGAATGGAGGAGCAGAGAGACCAGGGGGATCAGTGAAGGAAAAGTCAAGAGCAATCAGGCTAGATGCTAATCTACCCTTCAACCTTTGACCAGAGATAGTCAGAGCAGCTGTCTATCTCCTCAACAGGACCCCTCTCTACTCCAATGGATGGAAAACCCCATATGAGAAGTTCTTCACACTAGTGGCTCTCCAAAGTGGAATCCTAACCCTGTCCAGGAAGCTAGACCTTTTTCACCTCAAGGCCTATAGATGTAAAGCATTTGCACTCTCTGATGATATCCACAGAGGAAAGTCAAGACTACAGAGGCTGGATCCCAAGTCATGGATTGGATACTTGGTTGGGTACCAGTCCTCTAACATCTTCAGGATCTATATACCAACACTGGGAAAGGTTATCAGTACCAGAGATGTTGTGTTTGATGAGCACACTATGTTCAATGGCAAGAAGGAAGAAATCATGGACAACCTTATGCACAGCACCACTGAGGAGATTGCTAGATAGGTGAAGAGTGTAGAACTTCCATCTCCCCCATCAGGTGAACAAGAGACCCAGTCATTCTATGAAGATGAAACCATTGAAGATGCTTCTCAGGATAATCAAGAGAAACCAGACCAACCAGGATACCATCAAGGAAAAAAGATCATGTGTCCATACCCTACTCCACCTGATAATCCACCACCCATGACACTCTTGGCACAACTTCTCTCAGGATCTGATGAACAACATCCATCACTCCAGAACACTGGCATAGCTAAAACAATACCATGGCATGCTGCATTTATGGCTGGAACACAAGCAGGCAATGTTGGATCCCATGAAGGGAAGCCAATTGACAAAGCATACTTGAAGAGGTTGCTGGCTCAGGGGGTGAAACCACATAGGAACCAACTACCACCTCCACCCAAGCACCATTGGCAACTCAAGGACCATGAGCTCAGAGAACAGTTGGAAGAAGCAGAAAGAACACATCTCAGATCCCATGTCCCTACACAATCCTGGACTGAAGTCTCAAGCAAGGGAGTGAAGGATGCTGGTCACCAAATCCTGGACTGCATATGGGTGTATGTGTATAAGTTTGACAAGTATCACAGACTGGACAAATGCAAGGCCTATCTGGTTGTAAGAGGAGATCAACAGAGAAATATCATATCTCAAGATACTTATGCTGCAACATTGGCAGGGAGATCTTTCAGGATAATGATGGCTATTGCAGTACACTTTGACCTAGAACTCAAGCAATATGATGTTACCAATGCCTTTGTGCATATATCCATGGACAGAGAAGTCTACATACAGATGCCCCCAGGATACAGGAAGCTAAGAATACTCCTTAGACTCAACAAAGCCCTGTATAGACTCAGGATTTCTCCCCTGCTATAGCAGAGGGAATTGACAAAGACACTGGTAGAGATGGGATTCTACACAGTGAAATATGAACCATGTTATCTCATCAAAGATGGAATCATTTTGTTCTTCTATGTGGATGATATTATTGTTGCATTCCACAAGTCCAAGAAGATGGAGGCTCAGGAATCCATCAGGAAACTCACAGAGAAGTACACCATCATAGGAGGTGGTGATCTTCAGTAGTTCCTTGGTGTGGAAGTTCTGAGAGATCATGAAGAGCGTACTCTCCTTCTCTCCCAAGCCCAGTATGCTGAGAAGATCAGCCATCTGGTGGACAGAACAGACCTCAGACATGATACCCCAATGGCAAATGTTGAACTCAAGCCAAGGGAAGGCCTAGCAATACCATCTGAGATCAACAAGTATCAGAGAAAGATTGGATCCTTGCTGTTTGCTGCAGTCACCACCAGACCAGACATTGCCTTTGCAACTTCCAGACTGGCCCACTTCCTAATGAACCCAGGACAGGAACACCAAAATGGAGCAGACCACGTCCTCCTGTACCTCCTTGACACAAAGAACCTTGGCCTCAAGATAGGAGGAGGTGATTCCTTGGAAGTTGCAAGTGATGCATCATTTGCAGACAATACACTGGACAGGAAGAGTTCTCAAGGATACACAATCAAACTGTTCAATGGCCTCATTGCATGGAAGGCAAACAAGCAAGACACAGTCACCACATCTACCACTGAAACTGAACTGCTTGCACTCTCATAGGTAGCAAAGGAAGCTATGTTTATTTCAAGACTCCTCAAGGAACTGGAGGTTTCACTCCCAGAGCAGACAATAACCATCCACTGTGACAATCAACAAACCATCAGGCTCCTCAATGCGGAGATCTCAAGGTTGCAGATCAAGCTCAGACATGTGGATATTTACAATCACTGGCTGAGACAAGAGATATCATCTGGGATTATCAGGATTGAGTATCTGCAATCAGAAAGGATGCTGGCTGATGGGTTTATAAAGGTATTACCTGGGAATAAATGGAACAGGTTCTTGGATCATTTGGGACTGGAAAGAGTGAAGAACTCAAGTACCCTGAAGGAGATAGACTTGGATGAAGTGCAAGGCAAGTTGGAAGACATGCTACTCTGAAGAGGAGATGCTGTTGGGTCCAGCTTGCAATAGGTTCCAAGCTAAGGGGGTGTCTCAGATGGTAAGCCAGTTTATGGATATTCTATCTGGGACTGGAGAGGAGGACTGGGAGAAACT